AATAACCTTATTGAGTATCGGGCCACACACACACACACACACACACACGTCACGATGCCTTCGGCGACCATCTGGGCTTTTGCAGGTAGCTTACTAGGCTGGCAAAAGCTCACCACACTCTCAAGCATTGCCGCTTATTGTCCCCGACCGTTTATTTAACGAGACGGACTCATCTATTCACTGTTATCCTCCGGGGTTTTTGTTCTTTTATTCGCGATCTGTTGGTGCGCCAGGTAGCATTCACCCGAGCTACTCGTATTCGAACACCTCTGGGTATGCAGTATTGTTCAAAGTTGTTGGTGTCGTTGGACTAACGGTAATGGTGATGATGTGTGTTGAGCTTGTCGCGGTAGTACATTGACTCAATTGTTGGGACTTGATGGCTGCACTGAACTGGGTCATGTGTTTAGCATATTACCGGATAGTATTTCTCAACATGCGATCCTTGTCACGGCATGCAGTGGTTGGAGAAAGATCAAATTTTTATCCTTAATCAACAAATTTGGTCATCTGAGTCGATCACAGAATGTAGGTGATGTAGTTGAGTATCGTGATCAGTTGCATTATACCAGCTTTTCACTTTTCTTGAGCATCGTGTCTTGTTGGCTCTCCGTCAACGGCTTGCTAGGGTTTCGCTTTTATTGCTGCATCAGATAGGCAATCAAGGATAATAATCCAAAGCGGATTATGAAATTTGCATATTTGAGCTTTAGTATTCTAAATCTAAGCTTATGGACTTACTTTCGATGGGTATCTGTTTTTTTAGTTTGGCTCTCAACTCCAAAGATCGAGTGTTGATCAAGTTTACAACAGTGGAACATATTTCGTTATTTTCTTTTTACTTTTTGAGTTGTGTTTCGTTGGTCGAACGTGCACGCACACACCTTCCCTAATTCGCTTACTCTCCGTCCGTTTCAGTGAAACTCCTTACCGCACAATCTCGAGTACATGTAAAGTGTCCGACGGGGAGGATGAAGAAGAGCCACGAGGAATCCGATCGCAACAACCTCACCCGCATCTGTTCAATTCGTCCGTTCCCAACGGTGGTGATTCATCCACATCTCGCCGAATCAATATTCGCATGATTGATCGACCAGATTTCCATCTGGCCATCTCAGGCAAAACGTGGGCAGTCATCAAAGAGCACTATCCGTGGCTCATCCCCAAGGTACATGTTTCAAATTTATTCGCCGTGGATTGAACTAAAGAGATCGATATAACGACTATCGAAAGGATCGAGATAATCGGTAACCGTGTAAGAACTTGGAATATTACTGTATTTAGTTTTTAGAATGAAGCCAAATAATTTTAATACTTGTTTGTTCATCCAAACACGAAAATCATTTGTGCATCTTATTCACTCCTATATGATACGTACTGAAAATATCTAACCAATGTGCTGTCGGTTCTCAGGGTTTGGGAAAAATGGGATAGTTGGTGTTCATGGTGGGATTTTAAGCCTTTTTGTTATCTAAACAAAATGACGATTTGTGACCGGTTTCACCATCTCGATCCCTTCAGGGATTACCCACGAGCTGTCTGTGCTTAGTCCCCCAGGGACGCACGATGACAGTACCGTTCCTACGTAATGGCTATTCAGTTGAGCGTGTAATGTTTATGAGTGTCAGTACCCTGACCTCGAATACCTTATTGGCAGGACACGTCAACTAAAGGTCATTTTAATCAGCCATTGTTATTACACCCCAGTGCTTCCGTTTTCGGTTTTTTCTTGTTCCGTTGTTGACCTGAAAAACAAATGAAATTTTGAGTTGAAAGAAATCCGTTGACATTGCGCTATTTCGCGCAAATGAGAATCAGAGGAACTACCAACTTCGCGAATCACGTCATCGGCTTGTGACAACCAGTGTTGAGGTACACGTGAGACAGCTACCTTGGGTCTCTGTGTGGAAGCCTATCACGGATTGTAAAACTGTGACGAAAGATTTCTATCTTTTCGATAAGATCGACCACGTTCACTAACTTCCAACATCAACGAGAAAATTGTATGCTTGTTGAGACAAATGTAAGATGATTGCATGAGAAGACAGTCCATTTGCAATAATCCGTCCCATTGACTACTGTGATATCTGTACTTCACGTCAGCGTTGTTTATCCGTTTGTGCTGGAATAATGTAACGATCATGTCACACTCATGACACTCATAGCAATAACGTTCTGACCATCAAGCTTTCGTATATGTAATGGACTTATCCTAGCGATAAGTCCAATCAAAACAACGCAACACACGCTTTTTTCTGGGTTGAAGGTGGTTAAGCGTTTTCTGTTCTCATTGCATGAATCCGATGATCGTTTTTCTTCTGCTAATCTCACCATCGTCATCCAGTTTTCCCAATTATTTGTCTACCCTGAAAGCCGTTGATTGGTCGCTCTTCTACTCCCCGAACCGTTTAATTTTCTATTCAATTAAAGTAACTGAACGATTAGAATAGTAAGAGCCGTTCCAGTAATCGTCTAGATGACAAAAGTATTCGTGCGTGTGACCCGTTGCTGGATGCGAATTTCGGCAGCAAACGTCAGTAATGATCCTTTTGTCAAATTAGATCATTGAGTCGGCGCAAATATTAGTCCTAGAGTTCATCTGTTGGATATTGGTGATTCTTAGGAATATCTATCGTGACAGCTACCCCGAGCGGTGGATTCTTAGGAATATCTATCGTGACAGCTACCCCGAGCGGTGGTGGNGCCCGGTGGTAACGTCACCAAATTATGACTTCGGCGGACGTGTGTTCGAATCCCATCACCACCACCGCCTGACTTTCCCTATTACGTGTGTTGTATGGCAGCCCTTTGGTTGGCCACTTCCCCGCCTCCTGGAATTTGTATCATTGTGTATTCCATAAAAAAAAGTGAAAATGAAAAAAAGAAGACGTACCAAGTGATTTGCTCATATGCGTCGGTTGGGCAACTAAATGTGACAGGAACAGACCACTTTATGGGTCCCCGAAGCTCAGTTGGTACAGCGTGTGTCGATTGCTCATCATCTGCAGCAGACTAGTCACCAAATCAGTCATGGGGCTACGTTCCGGGTTAGTTACACAACTCTGAATAGGCGGTTGCTAATATTTGCAGAGGCTGTAGCATTCAGGCATCGAAAGACCCTGCTGTGTCTACATCAGTTCGGCGTTGCCGCGCGAACCACGTAGACGGAAGATTAAGTTGGTACTACGTTAGGTTATCATCAACTGTAATATATGCACCACTTTACTGCCCACAGAAAGCACCAGCTGAGATACAGCAAACTGATGCCGGGATTAAATTTTGTTCAGTCGTATTACAGTGTCAGAACACACATTTAGAGGCGAAGAATTCTTTTCATTGATTCATCTTCCGGCCCAGAAGAAATAAGAAAATGGCATTTTGAACGGGGATAGTCATTCAGTCATTCAAAAGTCACGGTGATTGATTTGGAAGGGAGAGGAATGGGGGATGGGGGAGGGTAATGCGACGTGTTTCATGCCCCTAGATGATCACCACAACACTGCAATCAAACTGTGATGCATCATCCGTGCGATCGATCTTCCGCCACGGTAGTTGAATAGTATGGACCAATCTCTTCAGTACGCATAGATTGGGTTTGAATAAACGCATGCCGATCGCTTCCCCAGCGGCTAGGGTGTGGAGACGCAGCGACTTGGATGGGTGAGGTGGTACTCGATAGATGACTTTGAAGGCTGATTCAGGCTTAACTTAATGACCTGAGTCTGCTAGGTGAGCGAGGATAGCGCTTCCTATGACACCTTTTCCACCATGTTGAAGCCAGCGTGGGAAGTGCTCTTTAATCCGCTGAGACAGCTGCCTCTCCGTTCGGCCAATGTAGGTTGCGTTACAAACGCAGCTGAGGGAATATATAACCATAGATGAGGCCAGCGTAGGCAGACTGTCTTTATTGAGTGTTATTATTGGAGAACCAGTGAATACGCAACCTGATTGCATTGAAGGTTCCTCTCACAGCCCGCGCTGAACGTCTCATAATGAGATCAAACAGATAGTCAGTCTCCTTTGAATGGCAGTTGAATAAACAGTTGCTTCTTCGGAGCTTCCTGAACAGGCTCGTGTTTCATTTTTTCTTCTGTTTTTCTCGATGAACCTTTCATCGTATCCGTTTTCCCTTAGAACGTTTTTAATCTGATCAAGTTCGTCTGCGAACGTGGATTCAGAGCATATCTTTCGTGCACCCGAGACACTACACTAAATGAGGCTTCTCTTTTGTATAAGCGGCACGAAACTGTGAAAGTTGGTGCACTGTCCGGTCCACGTTTCTTTTCTGTATATCCTTCTTTCAAGTAGTCCATCAGTTAGTTGTCCTATGCAGAGCTACGTGAAGGAATGCTAGTTTGTTATTTTTCTCTGCCTCCAGGGTGAAACTTATAGACTTGTGAGCCGTTACTTTTGAATGACTAAATGACCATCCCCATTCAAGGTGCATTTTCTTATTCCTTCCGTACGGGCAAGAAGATGAATTAATGAGGAGAATTCTTCACCTCTAAATGTGTGTTCTTATGTTAAAATGGGCATATTCTGGAATTTAAAAAAATTACAATAATCAGTTACCGGTTTTGATTTTGACTATACCCTCCCCTTTCAGAAAACCTCACTCTCTTGTCCACTCTGACTCGTAGACATTCGATTCCAAACAATTCATCCAGGGCCTTTTTCTGTTCTATTTATAAAGCTGAGTGAAACAGTATTTTTTCCCTGTTTCAAATCGTTTTGTTCACCCATTCTTGGGTTTAATCCACCAACGGGTGTTCAAGTTTCTGTTTTGACTTGCTTTTATACGTTTTCACAGTTGTTTTGAGTTTCAATCCAAACTATTCGCTGCCATTTTGATATTCTATCATACGTGGTTCCTGCTTGGTCCTAACCCGAATGCTCATCGTGGTCACGTGTCATCGATCTGTCACTCCTCGTACCCCTCTCGGTTTCGCCGAAGTTTTCCTCTGATTTTATTTTGGGCTGTGATGAACTGGGCCTGTTTTCGCCGTGCACGTGTCCAGATACCAGAGCTTTCCGGTCACCTCGGCTGCCGTCAAATGGATCGAAGTAAACGTTTGTTGGATCGATCGCACACAGGCAGTTTGTGGCGTAAAAAAAAATGATCGAAGTTTCCAAGCCTTATTTATTATTCACATTTTCGACTCTTCTATGCAGGATATTGACTTGCGCACATTCTCGTAGATGTTGTTTTCCTACGCCTGTCTTATATAAGTATGTTTTTCAAAGTAGGTTTCCTCTCCGCAAATAGATGACAATCTAAATCATGGTAAGATTTCTATTGGGTGGGGAAATCAATCCCTTTTGTGATATTATTATTCGATCAGATAGCTCAGGAGAAGTCGCGGGGACATTTGGTCACCTGGAGGAATAATTAAGTTTGCTTGATTACTGTCATGATTGGTTGAAGGTCGGTTAATTTTCCGTGACCGATTATTTTTAATTCTCTTTTCGTTAGTAGGATCGCGAGAACTGCTCGTGAAATGGAATTTAAAGATAAGGATCATTGGTTGAACAGCTTTCCTAATTATAATTAGGACTTTTTGCCGATGGGCGTATCACACACGTTACATCCTAATTGGTCATCGAAATCACAGCTTTGTTGCGAGGACTCTGAAATCCCTTACTCGAGGTATCGATTTCTTCTTGGCATAGCCAAAAACAGATCCCGTAGTTATTCAAGCCCATGGTAAACCCAAACAGAACTCTGATTGGAATGGAATATCTCTCATACTCTCTCGTGCTCCCTTGCTCTTCGGTAAAACATTCAATTCTAGTATCACCATGTCTCTACAGGAGCATTCAATTCACTTGATGAGCTCCACCCGCATAATACGTTTACTTCAAAATGAAAATTTCACCGGTGCTACTTGGAGTAGACGTAATACAATTTTTGTTATTTTGCAGGCTTTTGCGAACTGTAGTGAAATTGCAGTGGTATGTAGAATAATAGATCGCTCTCGATCCCACGAACGGTTCCTTGCATTGACAATTTGCGCATTGATACTTAGGTTAATAAACAATAAATGAGACTCTAATAGAGAGGGTTTCATATTTCACCGGGAGTCTGCAAAACCGTCAACTAGAGAATGTCATTTCGAGTGTTCAACACTAAGGACTGCATTTGAAATGTTTGTTTTACCATTTAAAGTATCATGTTTGGATCAGCCCATTCACACGCTCCAGGCACTTGTGATCGTTTGGGTGTTCTTTTCATTCCCTGGGGATCAGAGGTAGGGGTTTGAAGTTCCAACCGAAGCTTCGCGGTTCGAGTCCTGACAGATGCATCAAAAGTACATCCTGTTGATGAGTCTCAAACAGGACGAAACAGCTGTCCAGTGTCCTTTATCAGTCATCACAAATTTTCCCATCGGATTCGTTTGCCTGACTAGTTTATGTACTACTGTTTCACATCACTTCCCCACTTTCCTTTGTCCCTTCGCCCCTTACTTGATGCTCGGCTACATCTGAATGCCTTCCCCCGTACTGTATAGCTAGTGGTCAAGGGTACGGTTTTCGCTCGTTTCTCACCAGACCAAAAAACCCAGCTGATCGAGGCTCTGCAATCTGTGGGCTACTTTGTTGCTATGTGTGGAGATGGAGCGAACGACTGCGGTGCCTTAAAAGCCGCGCATGCTGGAGTTTCGTTGAGTGAGGCCGAGGCCAGCGTGGCCAGTCCGTTCACCTCCAAACAGCAAAACATCAGCTGTATTCCCACATTGATCCGAGAAGGTCGATGTGCCCTGGTGACAACATCCGGGACCCTCAAATTTATTACGAGTTATTCTTTAATCCAATTCATATCTGTGATTGCCTTATTCTATGTAAGTGGCTTACTGATTGATTTCTATCGTGTTAATTGATTGGTCTTGTTGCTATTGATTCTGATGTATGAAACACTCGTTGAAGCTGGATGTTTCGATAGTCGTAAATATAGAATGAGCTATTGAAGCATATACTTGTAAATCATTTTTAAGCCGGCAGCAGATATAATCAATCGGCCTATCCGTCCAGTTTTATGACAAACGTGAAGCTCCGTGGGGCACACTCGTGCGGACCAGGTTTCGTAATGGGAAATGTACTTTTACCTTTTCGCATTGTGGTTGTAAATTCCACTGAAATGTTGACAATCGGTCCCAAATAACCAGTATTCCGTCCGCACATCCATATGAGGTGTAACTACACGTGTGGTTGAGGAGAGCCGCACTTTGTTTTAATCTCTTACGGGGTCTACCACCAATGATGGCAGTTCCTGTCTATGTGGTCCTGTATGAGTGCGCACATGTACATCCACACTCACAAAAACACAGATTGTGTGTTCGCATCCTTGAACAGCAGCGAGATGTTCAGTCCACGGGTTCCTCCTTAGAAGCAAAGTGCATAACCTATGCAGTCCTGCACAATACAAGATGAAATCACCTTAACCGTGCCCGCCACGATTTAGGTTGTCAAATCCCCATAGCTCTGCTAGTTACGTAACCCTTACACTCGATAGTGTGATAATGTTAGAATTTCGTCCACGAACTGATAGACTAGTGTTGTTCGTATGTGTTTCTCACTCCGTAGTCGTTGAACAGAAAAAGGGCGATGAGGGTTGTTTTTGTTGTTGTTGGACTCATCGCTTTTTTATTTTTACAACTCGTTTATCGTGTCACACGAAATGTGTTTTTAAATTGATCTTACAGTGCATATTCATCAGGTCTTTGTCAATATTCTGTCCACCCTTCCCGGAGATTTCAAGCTACAATAAGATTGAATTCCCGTCGGTTTTGCGGTCTCAGTTGAGAACAGCCACCCACTTTCATGTGGAGGGCATTTTTCCAATTGTGTTTGAACAGTGTCTTTGTTATGACGAGAATTGTCATGCTGTTCCATCACCGTGCTCACCCACTCACTCACACATCTTGCTTCTTACTGGTTCCATTTCAGATTGGCAGCTCACTCTCAGATGGTCAATTTTTGTATATCGATTTATTTCTTATCACAACGCTTAGTGTTACATGTGAGTTTTCATATTGATCGTATAAAAATTCCGATAGTTTATGCAATGCGGCATTTTATGAGTAACATTAAAACAGAGTCCTAAATGTGTACTTCAGAGGGATGAAAAGTACGCTACTATTGTCTTGTTTCACAATACTTAGTACAGTGACTGATGGTGACTCATGAAGGGCCTGTCATTAACCAAAATCTTATTTATAAATGAGGACAGGAACTGAAGTCATGCATCACTTTCGGTTACTCCCTCTTCAGCTACCCGACACCATCTCAGTTTCTTCCTAAAGGAGTACTGTGGAGTATTTGACCTTGATATCTAGCCTTATTCTTATTTGTGCTAAGGTATTTAATTCAGTTCACCAAATTCACTTTTTTTAAAGAATATCAACCTAGTGTGAAGCCGATTGCCACGAGGCATGCAGTATCCTTAAGTCTGCGACTCCTGGAGCGTGCCAGACGGTTTGTGTATTACTGTGATTTGGTTAATATGGCTCTGGGGTCCGAAAATCCGGAGTTGAAAAATTCCAGGTTGTCACCTGACACAACTCATTTTGACGGTTATACACAACCAACTTTCAATAGTAAGTAGTTAAATTAACGGGCACTGCCTATTGAAAATACGCGTTGCATCAGGTAGAGTTGTTTCCTCGACTGCCGATGGAATAATCCGTCTAAAATAACACATTTATATATTCGGGTACTTTTAATCTATTCCCTGAAAAAAAATCGAATGAATTGCTTCTTGACATGGACTGGACACCTAGCCCGTAGACTCAACGTTATCTGCTCTTTAACTCAAGTCCGCTCAGCCGTATCGAATTCATGGTAGATCGATTTTGAATGTTGTCTCGAAGTGAAGAGGTCGTGAGTGACCTACAGATTCTGACTCTACAAAAGATGTTCTACAGATGGTTGCATCACCGTGGTCAAGGCATCGTTTGATCTGAACATTTTTCATCCATTCCTTCACAAAATATAGCGTAATCTGTGTTGGAAATTTCAAGACTTGTTTTTGTGTCTGCATTCGGACGTGAGCTCTCTCCCGATTAGAACGAAATTAATTAGCTTGGCCGACATACTATTCATAGCCTGTGTCGACTTCTGTTTAAAGGTAAAAAATATCAATTTTTCGCGTCATCAATTTTAAACTACGGATTTTCGGTTCATCAAGATTAGTGTTTAAGTCCTAGAAGTTCACCGAAAAACCCCGGAAGATTCTGGTTGTAGCTCCGTTCGCACTCGATAGCAGTCATTTTTGCCTCTCACATACAAATCTCTGCGTGAGCATACTTCGTCTCTATTTGCATGATATCTGAGAGAGTATAGCACCGTTTTTTGTGGATGATGATCATCTCCACATATCCTTGGTGGAACCAAAACCAACATATTTGGTCCTTTTTTGCTTTTCAGTTGGTTATACAAAACCCTATTCCTATTTGTCTATCGAACCTCCAAGAGTACGATTGCTCTCCGCGGTTACATTGCTCTCTCTGGGCTGTCACATGCTCGCTCATCTGGTGGTGCAAGTTTTGGCGTTCATCTCTGTTCGCGCTCAACCGTGGTAAGTTTTGCATACCTGTTTCTGGCGTTGTGTTGAATGGTTACAGTCTTTTCTCTGTATCAAGCACATCATGCCACAAGTAGCGTTACGACCCATCCATGGTTCGCTCGAGGGTGCTTTGACACCACATTGTCTAAGCTAAAAAAGGTGGTTTTTGTTTGTAGGTTGTGGCCGGATCTTTCAAACAGCTGAATCCTACCCAGAGGCAGTCGATTGATCATCATCATCATCGTGCAGTGAAATACAATGGAGTGAACTTTATTGATCTCTGCCAAACTTGCAATGCAGACAAGTTTTGTGGTGAAATTTAAGGGGGACAGGGATTGGACCTACTTTGAGGGAGGGAGAAGAAGGTGAACCTCTATGGTCAACACAGAGTAGGCAATCGAACTCTGCATACATACCGTTTCAAGCATTCTGACCTGATAAGAAACGACAACAAGAACGCCACTGATGCCGGTTCGCTGCCATATCCTTCAATGTCTCCAACCGACCAGTTGTGGAGTCTTTTGGACCCCAACCTGGAAGGCGAGAGACACCTACTCTACCTAATGGCTCTGTGCATTTCTTTATGCCTCGTCTCCACGTCATCTTTTGACCTCCACGTGGTTTCCTCCAGCCAGGATTAGCTACAGCGAATAAGGCGCGGTGCGGCAGACGATGGGCATACGCAATACGTGCCCTAACCAGCGAAGCCTGGTAATCTGAATTCGATGTGCTAGCAGGTTTATCTCTGATAAACTCCCAAACACGCGATGACTTGCGTCACATCTGTTGATGAAATTTATTTATTGGCATCCTTTGGGATTAAGACACGGTTTACACGTCTAGCACATTATGTTTTTCATTGAACTGAACGATCATCGTGACTAGGAGGTTCCGGAGACAATTCCTACTGTGTTACTTGAGGGCTTGTGATCAGGCTTTCCAGATCTTTTATCTAAGCTAGCTGCTACAGTCTCGCTTCCCGTCTCTCACTAAAAACCCCAGTACCAGAAAGCAAAGCTGACTTCTTTTGAGCATGAGTTCGAAATCTCTTCCATTCTCGAAGAAACATGGCTTTTTCGAGGGNTCCTACTAAGTCGCACTTCTTGGGGATTCGAAAAGGTGAATAGATTCCAGAAACTGCAACATCATGTTGATCAGTAGTTCGTGCTTTCAAGTAGTATAAAAGGCGATTGGGATATTTATCGTAAAATAAGCAGGGTCAATGAATATTCCCCTACTTCCGTTACTTGTTCTGATCATTGTTAAATAGTTAACATTTTTTTGAAGTGGAATTTTAATATACAGTCTCGCGTAGTCTTTCTGTAGTGAATTAATTTAATTCTTTTATGATGCTTTCAGTCCAACATTAGAATGGTACACTCGGATTCCAACCTTTTTTGAGTTTCACGTAACTATTTATCCCGTTTTCACTCACTTACTCCTAGTGAGAATTTTTAAACTCAATAGCCCGATTTCAATTCTGACGACTGTTCCATACAGTTGCAATCCGATGGTGACCACACAATCGAGTTCATAACGCCACCATGAACCACAACGGTTTTTGCTCACGTCGCAAAAATAGAGCACACTTCACGAGTCAGATCGTACGTACGGGATATGATGCTTAGGTCGTTAGCAAAACCACTAACAAGCAAGACCATAAAAGCTGGGTAAAACGTTATTTCCACAGTATTGTGGGAAAAACTGTATTGATTGCGAAGACTTAGTTGTAGTAACATGACATCTCTCATTTGAAAATCAACAATCGTGCTCTTCATATCAACTGTAAGTTCCGTAATCGACTCGAAGTCCGACACTAGCTGAGGCAAACGATTTGGATTGATCCATTCACTTGCGCGCCTCCCTGAGTATGATAACTTTCGATGTATTCTCGTTTATCCTCTGGTGGCCACGTTGTCAGCTAATTCAATGTGGCGTTCAACCATCGTTTTATGAAAGTGCTGCTCAGTACATGCGGACACAGACATCCAAGCGTTCCTGACGAAAGAATATCCATTTCGCTCTTTATGTTGGATTGTTCATCTTCAAATTCGTCGTTGCATGTTGGTTGGTCCATGACCTAGCCATACATTATTCAACGACCAAAAGAGTAAGTATCAAGAAGGGTGACATACCGACGAGGTGACATTGCATAGTCCGGACCTGCATTGTTACACATACGATTGGTTGAGAATTGCTGAAATTGGGAATATATTGGAAAATGTGGCTTCTCAGGAGTGCGATATAACAGTAGATCGACTGTATGTTATGCTCTCTATCGTCTGAAATTATGCGATGTTTTAAACACGAGGCATTTGTCTCTTACACGTAGCCTTATAGACATCAATATAACGGGAGGGCGATGTACTAATAACTGGGACACAATTATGCTCCCAGTTTTCTCTTCATTGTCAATCACTGAAAATGGGTCTGTTGGACATCACAAATCATTTCGGGCCGTCAATTTCATCTTATGTGAGCAGATAGTTTAGCATTTATGTATCAGATATTTGGTTTACGGGTTTTAATGACGTCAGAAAAAGAGGTACGGTAAATAACTGCGGCAATGACCAACCGGTGTTTCATCGCCTGGAGGTTGGGAGTTCGAACCGCATCACTCACTGCTGAGCTTTTCTCACATTTACCCATCGTTTGGACTTGGCCCCATTTTGGATAATGCCTTATACAGTTATATTCTCAATTGAAGGAAGTAAAAGAAGTTGGGAAAGAACGCACGAATAGTGTACAGCATAGAATGTAGTACGGCCGTAGTTGCACCAAAAGTATTTCACATCTTTTAAGCACACTATGATATTCGATCGTTAACACGTTCACAAAAAGTTCCATAAAAATGGGTTACGTGCTTGGGGACTATTTGTGAGATCCTGGGTTCGATTATCAATTAGGTCGATAGATTCGCACCTCTAATAAGATAGAACTAGTTGTGCAACGCTTTCGAGTTCTCACTTCACGTTACTTTTGTTCTATATACACCATACTATCCCTTATTTTATTAGTTCAGTAAGAACGAAATTAGCTGTATTAGTTCCCAAATTATCTTTAAATCGTCTCCTATTTTCCTCCCATCGATGTGCTGAGTGCGTTGGTTGGTTGAAAGTATTTTTGGTAGTGGTGGGACATTTTATTGTACTTTTGCTCCCGCCGTTTCTATTCTTCATTACACTGTAATGAATACCTTGTCAGAATAGCCATCGTTAGTTCAACCATCACTGCCCCGTGTCACATGGATTGTCTGTGATTATCAACTATTGCGGTTGATGATGATATACGTACCGAGTTTTTCTCATCGTAAACTATTCTACTTTTATTGTATTTTCAAAATCCAGGTTTGTCGTGTCACGTTTATCTGCTCGTCGCCACCCATAATACACGTCCGCCGATGAGGCAGACTAAACGTCCGTACTGAGGGTAAACTCTGCCCATTTCCATACCAGATCCAGCCACTGGTGGCGACTGACTTTGGAGTATACTGTATCGCATCACCCGCTTCAGGAATATCTTGTATTCTCTCTCTCTCTTGACCTGTTCGTTTTGTTTTCGCGTGCTGGCGTAGTTACACCACACGCACACACGCTTCTAATGCTGTTTGGTAACTGATATGCCTCCGATGGCGTGCGCGTTCTGAGTGGTCTGTCTTCACCACCCCGGTCTGTGCGGGGTCGAGAATCGAGCATGCATTGCACGTTGTTTACCTGATATGGAATCGACGCAGTTTAACTGAACTGTTTGATTAGGTTAGCTCACCCGGGGTCACTGTGAACGAGCCTGTAACTGTGATAACGTGTCATACGAACCGCATGTGTGTGTGCGTCTAGGTTCATCAATGGTCCGTAAATTCAGTCTTTTGCTTTGCGGCGAGACCAAGTGTGTTCCATACACTTTTATATGGAGAGTCATTTTCGGTCGATCAGTTCAGTTTCTTAATGGAACATATACAACGGCGCGTAGTGAATAAATGACTCACTGGTTAAAAATAAGGAGGGATGTGACGAGGAGCCGTTAATGTAGGCCACCTTTATGTCTCCCAGCTCAATACCACACCTACTTACTTTCAGGCGAATCTCTTCTACTTGGGCTTGGGGGCATAGCACAAATAGCCATCCTCGGTGCAATTCGAATGCACCCTCAACTGTTCCGCAGCTTGGTTCTATTCATGGAACAGTCGGGTGATAGCAATGGGCTTGATTGGTGGCGAGCCACATTGGAGTAATAGGTGATCAAAAGCTGCGTGCAATAAAAAGAAAACAGCGGCGATTTGATAGATACTTTATCGAAGTATATTTTTCTTTCATACATCAGTCGGTACAGATATTTGAACGGCATTTATCACCTGTTCCTCTGTTGGTACCGGAACTTGTTCAATGTTAAAGGTAGATGGAACATTTATGGCTGTACCGACTGTCACTTGCGAGTAGTGAAGTCGATTAGTATTGTTTCGGATATTTCTAGTCGGTCATGGTGTGAAATGTTTGGCATAGGAGCAACATGCGCGTTCTACACGAGAGATTCGCTGTTCAAACCATGCATGATCGGTGTTGATGCTTCACTGGCGAGCTTTCGTGATCCCTTAGTGTACAGTCGATTGAATGCACTGCTTATTGTTTGTTGTGTCAGTTGAAATTTAAAAAATGTTTTTCTCTTCAGCGATGAAGCGGAACAAAGTGATCTAAGACAGTATGATAATAAAGTTTGAAAACATTTGACCAATATGAGGTTTGTTTATGGTGCTGGAAGCACCAAAAACTTAGCCCAAGTGGGGATCGTATGTAAACACGCATGACATTATGCCTTCTGTACATGCGTACCGTGACACGGGTTCAGTCTACTGAAACACCGCAGTTTGTTTGGGTCGTCGGACTTTGCTCCCGATGTGATATTAGGTACTTTAGACCGTGGCACCATCCGGTTTAATTTGTTTACTGATTGAAGCCATAAATGTTTTATTATTCACGTTTGTTTATCCCGGTTTGCTCGCATGTGAAAACACTATCGACAAGAAGCTGGAGTCGGCAATATGTTTCATTTATGGTGTGCTTCCCCTCCTCCGACCGATTCCCCCAAAATTACTGCACTCCTATTCATTCGTCCTTTTTTGCATTTATCCCTACCACCACTCCGCCCCTGCGTCACCCGCGGCAGGTATATACCACTGTTTGAGTACAGTGAGGATGCTGAGCTGTGCAACTACGAGTCAACCGCCCTTTTTACCGTCGCTACCTATCAGTATTTGATCTCCGTGATTGTATTCTCTAAAGGTGTCCCGTATCGACGTTCTTTGCTGTCGAACTGTACGTGATGACATGTTTTCAAGTGCTAATAATGTTTATTTACTTTTTATCATTATTATTATTTCTGCAGTGTTCAAAATGAGAAATCAAACGGTTTAACAAGTATTTTTGTAATTTGCTTTCATTATTATTATTATTATATCATTATTTTTTATTGGAAATCGGGAGATAACGCGCAGTTGCAACTACGTGCTTTGATTCCTGTTTGTCCACTCTCCCACGTGGAGAGTACTATATATAGGTAGTTTGTATTTTCCCACTGTCTGACAGTAAACCTCTTTCAACAGTTTACTCATGGATAGAGCGCTGTAGCTAACCTCAGTAATCGAGAAACATTTCCGCATCACCTTTCTTCTGTAGGAGCATACCAGTTTCCTAAGCCAGAGGTGTTACTCCTAGTGAAAACTTCCTCGCTCCATTTATGCTATCCAGTTCGGTTAGTTTGAGCATAATCCTGTGGCGAATTAAATTGAGACTTCTCTGAGTTCTTTGAATGAGTAATAAAAGCACAGACGTGTTGGAAGGTTTTGCCGATAACCAGGTCTTATTAAGGTGTTTGATTCGGGTTTCTCCATCACACGTATGGCCGCCAATCAAAGTCAAAGTTTTATTATGGGAATAGCTTACAAGCTGGTGCTTCTCTTGTCCCATAGGATATTTACACAGATGGATCGTTACACATCGAAAAAGAAGTCGCATAGAGATCCGGATAGGAGATAGACAATGTAGCTTACAGTGAATTTCCGTTTGCCTTAAGTGTACGAATGCGAGTTGTGCCAAGGTTTTGTCGAGTCTCTGCTTGAAAGATTCAATAGTGGGTGCACAAACGACATGAAATGGAAGGGCGTTCGAAGATTTGCATACTCTGACTGCAAAAGATTGGCACCGATAATCCAGTCGAGACTTGGAATCAGTAGTTTGAAACGGTGTCCCCTTAGGTGTCACATCTCCACGTCTCAAGCCCCCGTAACAAAGTGTTTGACTTCCGTTTTATCTACTCTTTGGGTTATTTCAACTTTGCCTATAGAGCATTGATCTTCGTAACTCTTTCAATTGGTTTGTTTTAATCACGTGCAGGGAACTTTCACGTTGTCTTGCTTTTCATGGGTGCAAAATCAACCGCGTTTCTCTCCCACACCTGGTTAGGACTTCGATCGTTAGGATAAAAGGTCGAGATTTTCTACACTGATTCCAACTGTTTTGGTCACAGAATAAGACACCCACAATCCGATGATGGTCATTGGTGTTTTGATGGGATGAAATTGGTAGGTATGAATGCGTAATTCGAAAGAATGTGGTCCATGTAAATGTTCCTGAAAAACTCCATTTCTATGAGCACATACATGGAAAATCATAATTCTGGATATACACTAAGCGTGAGTTATTAGAAAGCTTTGGGCCGAATAATTATAACGAATGTTGTCCAGTGAAAATGGCGGACCTTTTACCTATGACATTCCTTCCCGAATATCAGCTCCAATGTCCACTTCAGTTCAGTTTGAACAACCAATAACCATGCGCTGTCGTGCGCCGCTTTTCGTTGCTATCTTCTGGCTGCTCAATTGGATGAAGAATAGGAGAAGAAAGGAAAGTTGAGAGTAGAGTCCAGAAAAACAGAAAATAGAGAAGTTCAGTGATCTAAGGTTGCAAAGAAATTGAGAAGATGCAAGAACGACACTGTTGACGAAACCCAGCCATATCACTCAGTGTCTCTAATCATCGGGTACGATCATCTCGAGGTCCCCAGCCAGGGAGCCTAACAGGACCTATGTGACCCAGACTCTTGGTCAGAGTTTTACTACCCTGGTCAGGTGCCAGGTCGTAGCTTAACCACCATTGACTTTTTTTCCGGCGAACGTCGATCGCGGTGGTAACCTATCTGGTGACATGTGTAACACATGTCCCAAACAACGTAATCTACAGAGGTCGACCACTTGCCCCAGTGGGCGACGGCAGATACCCAAAATTCTGCGCCTAACCTCAGTATTGTTCGGTCGGCTGCCCCACCAGATTCGTGCAATGCTGCCTAGACAGCGGTGTTCAAACACCGGCAGTCTATATTTATCCTGTTTTCTTAATGGCCAAGTTTCTGCACTGTATAGCAGGACTGGCCGAACTATCGCGGCATACACTCGACCCTTAACAGACAGCCGGATGTCGCGACGGCGCCACAGATGTCTCAATTTGACAAATCACAACCGAGCCTTTTGTATACGAGCAGACACTTCATCCGTGAAGCGAGATGTAGCTGCCCAAAAAACAAAACTTAGCCACCTGCTCTATTACCCAACTCCAAGACTAACGCTGAGCCTCCATCCTTAAACGCTGATGGGAACAACCCATCGGGGCCAGAGGCCTTATGCATTTTGAGATACCTTATTTCCCGAGAAACCCCCATTTCAGATAGAGGACTAGCATCAACTGGGAGTATTTGTCCAGTCGAGGCGGAGAGTGAAAGATCAGATGTCGATGGGGGCCAGTTAAAATGAAGCTTGAAGTGTTCAGCCCATCGAGCAAGACGGCGTTGCTGATCACGAATCAGTGTGCCATCGGATTCCTTAATTACCTCACTTACGCCTATTTTCCTAGGGCCCGTATTCCTAATTAGATGGAAAAGGTTACGACTATTACCAATAGCCGCAGCCTTCTTCATCTTTTTACACTTTTCTACCAACCACTTCTCGCGGTCATTCCTCAGACTCCGGCGACTACTACGACGTCCGTTGATCGAGCACTTTGGAGTAGCTGAGAAAGATCCTTGTAGAATTCATCCTTGATTTCAGGTATAGTGCAATCGGTCGGTGCATATGCCGATACGACGAATAAGCATCAACGCTTCGTTCGGTAGCTGTTGACTCGAACTGAACCGTTGAGACGTACAGCGCACAATCGGCTACTGACTAGAATTCAGTCAAGAAGCGAGCGCTCATTCTTGGTACTTAGCGCAATCCCGACACCAGCAACACTGTGAGTTTCGGATGCCGAATCGCCCGACACACGAAGGGTGAAGCGTGAGGTTGAGATTGGATCAGGAGAACGCAGACAGATAATGGAAGTAGGGTCTTGTATGCGTGTTTCGGAGACACAGGATACATCTAAATTGAAAGTATCGATGATTCTAGTCAAGGCAGCTTGTTGGTCAATCTGATAGAGCGTGCGGACATTGAATGCGGCTAAATGAAAAGGGGATTTTGACTTTAAAATTCCTGTAGGGTATGATTGTCTGGCCTTGTTTGTAAAACGCTGATTGATATTCGATGGGTGGCGTAAACAGGAGGCATCTGGGATTATTCGGGGTTGAGAAGAAGAACTAGATAGATGGGAAAGATGGTTGTCCAAATGGGTGCTTAAGACTTTAGGGCTCGACATACTTCGCGGTAGCCCACACGGACGAAAGGGTTTTTCTTTGGGAACCCTAACCGGAGCCGTTAACTAAAGAGTCTGACCCACAAGGCAGTGGGGCGTGAATCCAATCCGGCTCCAATGTAGAAATGTTTTTAGAGGAGAAACAAATTAGCCATTGATTTGTAACAAAATGGGGATTCGAACACCCTCGGTTCCTGCGCTTTGAATGTTCTCTGGAAGATAGGAATTTATTCCTGTGACGGAGTTTTTTCAGCAATGGCAAATGATCGAGGTTTTTCAACGGATCGTTGAAGATGGAATAATTCTCTAGGAACGGTCCGTTAACATCAGAGTATCCCACATTGTTACTAATTATTGAGTGTGAGGTAATTGCGAACAGCAGAATACTTTGAAAAATCCATAATCGAAATCTGCTACACAGCAAAAATGGATAGTAGCCAAATGGGAGCATTTGGCAGAAGACCACATTTGCGGCATCACAGTCACTTGACCGGTGCTACTAGCGATCCAGAAAGCGTGCGTACAAACACGATGACTGAATTTTACATTGAGGCTGGCATGACAACACAATGGTCACCCTATTTTGGGGAAATAAGTTTAAAAGAACCCCGGATTATGTTCGTTTTCAGACCGCACACACCAAATTCGTTTGGAAAAATTGGAAAAAGATACAACTAATCTATGTTCGAACAGGTTAGATCGGAATTTCAGGAATGCATCGTTTTGTACAATGTCTGAAGCGAAGTGGCAATTAAGGGATGTGACCGGGGATGAACGTAATTCATCGCCTTAGTCGTTGGTTGTGCACTCAACGATTTTTCAACAAAAGCTAAATTTGTCCAAATGTGTGGGAAAATTGGAGCAATTCAAAAATATCAAGAACAATTGCACAAAACGCACTACTTCTGATGAACAGAAAGAGAAATATACCAGGAACACTATCATTTGTTCATTAAAAGCTGCTTCATTCGGTAGTCCACCAGACGCTGGGCATGCAGTCTCACTCAACTGTCTGAGGGGTCCAACCGGATCGGTGTACGTTTCAGCCACCCGGCTCACCAGTTGGTCCTGTAACGTGTGCCAGACTGCGACTGATCGCAACAACCAGATCGTGTTGGGCGGAACGGGTTTCTGGAGCTACCCAGATGAAGCGAAAAAAAGATGTACGATTGTCTTCACAAAGATAAAACATGGGGTAAATAATAAGAAAACAAAAAAGATAAGTTTGAAAAAAAAAGGATCAACGTGGAGACACTGATCGACTGATATCAGTCAGGAGGTTTCGATCACATCAGCGCTATTCCACCGTTAGACTTTGAAAAGTTCCCTGATCGCATGCAACCAGCCATGATCCTTGAACGAAAAGTTGGATGAGTTTATTGCACATTGAAATTAATTTAAGTGAACGTATTATCACAACCATTGGTAATTATTACCACGAGTTTGGGAACATCATCAAGTCAAGTCAAGTCCAGGAATGGCTTTATACACCCCGAGAGGTGGAAATTCAGCAACCACATAACCATAGTGTGTCAACAAAAAGTGGAAAAAAAACAACCGCAGTATGATACAGCAATTAAAGGACAGCAACATCAAAATCAATAGCATACCCCGGTGTATAGAATGGATTTAGTTTAACATTGGGTGCAGATTTCTTGCAACAATTTCTTGGTTTGTTAGAAATCTGGCGAGATAAGGGACAATAGACCGCCTGTAAGCTTCAGTGCGTGTCTTTAAAAGTTTGTGAGTGGAACGGGTGGATGAGTGAGAAAGGCACTGGCTAATAGAGACTAAGAGAATGAAGAGGATGGGAAATATCAGATTAAATCTTGTTTGAGAATGTTTTACAGGACATGGGGTGATGGGTCACCACATATTGTACCAGATTTTCCGACTACAAATCCGCAGAAACTCAAGGGATCTGGAAATGAGTTTGAGCTCCTTGTTAAAAAGACCAGGGACGATAACAGGGGACCCCTAACGCCAGTTGAGTAAAACGCAAACAAAAACAAAACGCCTTATGAGGTGATTTTATTATTCTTGAGACTTTTAGTGGCAGCTTACGTTACTCGGCAGCCCAACTGTTGCGCGCACGTACACATCTTTTTGTCGATTTGTGTTCAAATAGTTCTCTATTTCGAATCGATTCCCGTTTCAGACTTTCTGGTCATCAATTTGCTGGTTGCCATTGTCTGTACCGTTTGTGTGACCGCTTCCACTTTCAATATACGACACAATTTTCTTCTGGTGAGTTCTTCATACTGTTCCTAATGAGCCATTCGATCTTTGTGCTTGAATAACTCATTTGCCTTACAGGGTGAATCGCTTATGCGACTGTGAACATTTGTAATGCCTACTCCTGTTTGCCAATCTTTCGTTTTAAGAATTGAACTTGTATCTTAGTCTGTATGCACACAATATCGATGTAGAGGAAAACCTCTGACCGCATGTGATTCGTCAACCGGCAATATACATATCGATCATCGTAGAGAAGCGGTTTAGACTATCGTATCCG